AGACAGATATCCGAAGGGGGATAGGAGCAGTGAATGCGCTTTTTAGAAACCAATGAAAGCATTCTTCTTCTATGTACTGGGTCCCCACAGGACTTAGGTGATCATGGCTCTCGACAATTTCCTTTTCTTTTTCATCTCCCCTAAACCATGTTCCGGTATCCTTTTACTCAAGTTCCATTTTCTCTAAAACTTGTAATGCGTTTGTTTTCCTCTGTCCCTCTTTGCCTTCAATCTGTCTTATGAGTATCAAATTTTCCAAGCCCTCTTTGTTCATTATGGGCTCTAGAAATTCTAATCTCTCTCTTTCTGATGCTAATTGTAAGTGTCATTTTTGTCTCTATATTCTATAAAATTGTTTTTTGTTTTGTCTCGGCATATATTACCACTAGCACTCATTTGTTCAATATTTTATACTTATTCATATATATATATATATATATATATATATATATATATATATATATATATATATATATATATATACTACAGATCAAAAGTTTGAGGGACCACTAGTAATCTAAAAAAATTCCCCCAAAATAGTTGCTTTGTACTTTAAATAAGAATTAATTATTATACATAGTTAAAAAAAAAAAAAAAAGTGAGCCATGATTTTTATTAGAAGTTTTATTATGACAAAAGAAAAAGCATTTTATGATTAAATTTTGCTCTCGTCAAAATATCCTCCTTTAGCCTTGATTACTGCAGCACAAATGTTTAGCATTTGTTGCAAAAGTTTCTCGAAGTACAAGTTTGATAGCTTTCTTTTTCCAATTACTCTAAGAGCTCTTTTTTTCATTTTTGGGATGGAGAGGTTTCACTCTTCTGTCAAGTTCATTCTATGCTAATTCTGGAGGTGACTTCAAATTTTTGTACTGCATTATATATATATATATATATATATATATATGTGTGTGTGTGTGTGTGTATGTATATATGTATGTGTGTGTGTGTTGCCTGTATGATAGTATCCGAAACGAAGGTGAAGATAATGGGACAAAGCGGAAAAACTATAAATGACGCGTTTCGACGGGAGTGTCTGCACTCTCGAACTTTTTCAGGTTATAATGAAAGAAAAACAAAACTGCATGCAATCGAAAATACGTTGGGATCTCTAAGGATAAGTGGGAATCATAAATCAAATTACCTTATCGCATCCATGGCCAGACCGCACAGGGTACCTCTGCCTGTTTGTTTTATATATATATATATATATATATATATATAATTTAAACGAAATATATATATATATATATATATATATATATATATATATATATATTTATATCTTATATTCGGTTGGTGTCTGTTGGATGTTAATCCGCTGCTTCTGATACCGTTGATTCATTTTTTGCCAACGGTATAACACGAACACGTGCAACTTCCTTTACTGCTCGGCAACAAATAACTCATCTGCTATGCGTTTGAAGAAAACGGGAGTTCGAGCCTGTCCAGACATGGATAATTATTTTGCTTTACTTATTGCCGCAGCAACACGCAGCGGACATTCTGAGAATGAAATTGTCACACCTCGTACGGGTTTATACGTTTGATAACATTATGTCGTTTTTTTTTCGATTATTTTTCTGATTCTCTACAAATACTATTCTCTAGTTCTACCAATTCTAACCTTCACAGTTAAAACCCTTTCGACGAACCGCTACTTCATGGAACCGACCTCCAAGAGGATGCTTCCACTACAAACTTAACCTGTTCAAGTTTAGAGTTAATCGTTATCTTTCTCGCATATCCACACAAATTGTGTTCCCTACCTCTAACCGTCTACTTCGAGTGGTTCTTGGGCCTTGTACGAGGTGAACATTTTATTACGTCCTGCTTTACCGAATCGCATTGTAGTACCCCTACGTAGTTAACGTGCTTTTTTGTTGTTAACGCCATTATTTACACTATTTATATTATTCGGACTATTGTCCTCATCTTTGTCGCCATATTTATTACAACGTTTTGAAGAAGGCCGGAGCGTATAACGGCCGAAACGTTTTAATAAATATGGCGACAAAGATGAGGACAATTGTCCGAATAATGTAAATAGTGTACATAATACCTCATCTCAGAACTATAGACAAACAGCATTATTGTTTTGTGATGTTGCAATTCGATTCCATATTTAGTCACGGACCATTGCTTGTGTATTTCTGTATCTCGAAATGCATTCCGATGTCATCACCGCTGTTTAATTTTGTCATTTCGCTGTTTTAAGGCATCTGGTTGCATTCCGTTTTTGTGCTTATTTTTTAGGTTAATTAGAATGCATTATAGTCAATAGTAATATTGTTGTTATTTTTAATATATAAAAAACGATCTATTATGTAAATAATTTTCCCACTCATTTATCTGTGACGTCAGAAATAGCGAAAAAATTTGAGGAATTTTAGCTCTTGCATTTTCTACATAAATAAGCTAGAATTTTTATCTATCCAATTAACTCGTCGCATGTAAGAAAGAATTTAGTTTTATGAATTAATAAAAGTAATTAAATTTTCTTTGAAGCAGTGTGGAATGTCAACATCTTGATTATGTCATTATTTTCTCTTTGAGTTACATGTGATATCCATTTTAGTTGTTACTGCGGTCAAAAATCTCCAAGTGTTGTGATTTCTGTGATCTTGTATTGTTCTTTGTTTGCGATTCTTTAACGTCTGTCCACAAGGTTTGATAAAGGATGGTATTCGCCAAGACCTACAGGCTTCATTCACTTGAAATTAATTCTAATCATCGATCTGAGAAAGCAATTGTATAGAGCTGACAGTTTACATATTTCTAAACAGGTTTGACACCATGCATGACATCCATATGAAAGTCTCAATATGACGAAGCTATTAAAGAACATGTCTTGATTTTTTAGTCTCGACATCCCCCTTCAACTCACAGTTAATCCTTATCAGTGAATTGGGGTTTCCTTCCTAATCTTTTTTTGAAGCTGTGTGGAGCGCCAACATCTTGATTATATCATAAATTTCTATTCGATTTACACGAGCCATTCATTTTAGTTGTTGCTGCTGTTGGTAGTCCTCAAATGATGTGTTTATTGTCATCTGTCACAGTTCTTTGTGATTCTATGCAACCAGCTGACAATGTTCAAAGTGAGATAGTCTTTGCTAAGACCTCCAGACTACACTAGATCAAAACCATTTTTAATCATTAATCACGTATTGTAAAAAGAAATGAAAAAGGGATAACAGTATTTAAATATTTGAATGGGCACCTCGACGTGGTGCAATGGTTAGAAAGAGTGTCTTGCTAGATCAATTACGATTGAGTAGTGAGTTCGATCCTCAGTAAGTACCACGTACTTTCGGCCTTGTGCCAAATCTAAGCCGCGTTTGGAAAATCTCTACAACTAAGTACGAATTCTGTCTTTTAAATCTTTAAAAGTATGCAAAGAAATCTGATATATTTTTATTATTTTAAGTAATTTTGCAAATTGCCTTGGTTATATTTTTTTGCATGTGTTATCCCGGAGTTTTTACTCTGTACAATCAACTCTATTGTCACATGTAAAGAGTTCGATCCTCACTGGGTACCCCGTACTTTCGGCCTTGTGCCATATCTAAGCTACGCTTGAAAAATCACTATTGTCACATGTAAATGAAGAATTCTGCTCTTGAAACCATTAAAAGAAAAAAATGGCCAAAGACAACAAATATAACCCAGAAAAAGTCAATATTTAAGTATTTTTTTCTTTTATGTACCATGAATCCACTGGACGTTGGCAATCATGGCTCTCCACAATTTCCTCTACTTTGTAGCTCTTAGTAAATTTTGTCTTTTTGCTATATTTCCTCATCCCTGTTGTCATTCAGTACAAGTTCATTAGGTAGGTTATGCTCTGTTCTCCTCTGTCCTTGTCTTCAATATGCCATATGAGTGTTAAATTTTCCAAGCCCTCTTTCCTTTTTATGTCCTAGAAATTTTAACTGTCTCTTCCTGGTGTTAAGCATAAGTGACTTGTTTTTATTTTCATTAAAACTTTGTCGTTGCTAGAATATTCGGTCCATGGTCTCCTCAGCAACCTTCTCTAACACAACATTTCTGTTGCTTCAACTCTTCTCTTCATATGTTATGTGACTGTCCAGCATTCACTACCATAGGCGAACTAACATTACATAACAGTTCAGTAATCTTTTCTTCGTTTCTAACGGAATTCTTCTGTTTCTTAATACTTTGCTTAGCTTTTGGAAGGCATCTTTCGCTTTCCCAATGCGACTCCGGATTTCGGTGTCGCACGTTCCGTTCTCTGTTAAAACACTTCCAAGATATTTAAATCGTTGTACTTGCTTGAATTTGGTATCTTTAATTTGTAATTTGCACGTTAGGCTGTTCTTTTTCTCTGGTAACAATATATTTTGTCTTCTTGCAATTGATGTTTCATCCCTTTCTTCACGCTTTCTTTCATTATCTTCTTATATTTTTTGCATGTGTAATCTAGAATGTTTTGTCTATGCATTTAACCCTATTGTCATATATAAAAAAAAATAATCCTTGAAATCTTGAAATCTTTAAAAATAGAAATATACAAACAGAACGAAGCGAATACGATTTGTACAGAAGAAAAAACAAACAAACAAAAAACGTTGATAATATTTCCAATTATTTTACATTTTTCTACCAAGCCCCAGGGTAGCATCCTCTTAGGTAGTACCTCACCTCTAAGAGGGGGGGGTAAATTGCCCGGTGTCTGAGGTGTCCCCAAGATGGTAAGTGTCAATGTGGCTCGAGCAATTTTTTCACGGTATTACCGTTAAAACCACTTTAAACTGATCTTGAATCACATTCAGTAGTGACGGGGCGGACTGAAAAAAATACATAGTAACAATTTCTACACAAAGAATCTAGGAGTTTTACATCTGACCCTATTGTTATACGTGAGAAAGAATTCTCCATTAAAGTAAACGGGTCAGTGTCATCTAGCTTCAGATGGCTTTAATTTCAATTTAATACCATTTGTTTGGTTTTGTTTGTCTTACGGCATATCAACCTCAATGGCTTATTTAATGCCGACAAGCTTTTTATTGCTGGTAATATTTTTCTTATCTATCTATCTATCTATCTATCTATCTATCTCTATCTATCTATCTATCTATCTATCTCAATATATGTTGGTTTGGTTTGGTTTATCTTACGGCATATCAATCTCAATGGCTTATTGAATGCAGACAAGATTTTTTATTGCTGGTAATATTTTTTCCCCCCAAAAATGTATTGCTGGTATCAAAACATATTTTTGACCTCAGTTTCAGGGTTAACTATTTGCCCATAGCTGGGATATTTACAGGTTCTACAAGTGGACCTCGGAATACAAGGTGGTCCCACGCTCCTCACCCCCCCCCCGATCAGAGGCCTTGCTGCCGGATGTAGTTTATCGTCACATCCAAGACGCTTCATTGAGGGGGGGGTGAGAGAGTCTTACCCATCTGCATAAGTGCAGTTGGCATATTCCGAAGCCCCTAGACGACAGGGCATTTAATTCTATTTGTAACATTTCTATCAGGTTGTCACACATGAAATGACGCACTTTACAGGAAATGAATAAAAAGTTTCTGAAATGTGAAATAAGTCATTTATTCATTTGAAATAGGCAACATGTTAACGAATGACTGTTCTCTAACGGACATTTAAAAATTTCTCATTCTTTGACGTGATAAAAAGTTCAAATGCTTCGATTACCTCTTCCTTATTGGAGAATATTTTATTGCGTATTGAAAGGTCAAAATGCTTAAATAAGTGATCATCAGTAGAAGATATATAAGGTCAATATGACGGATGAGGCAAAATTTCATAATCCAGGCTATGCGGCTTTTGGGCGGTTGATTGAGAAGCGTTCGGCTGCGTGTTGTCGTGCAGCAAAATTGGGCCATCCCTATTCACAAGTCTACGATGTTTCTTTTTCAACTTTTCGTGTATTTCCCCACAGTACGAGGTTGCTGCTTTTGTTTTCCCTTGAGGTAAGAATGAATAATGAATAACCCTTTTGAAAGACCACCATGAATGAATAATGAATAACCCCTTTGAAAGACCACCATACAATAACCAGTAAGAGGAGGTTTTGAGTATCGTTTTAGTGATTCACTTGGATCTAAACGCTCTCTTACTGTTGTCAAAGAGTATCCATATCTGATCGCATGTAATGATTCGATGCAAAAATAGTTTGTACTTGTACAGTAAAATTACTTTTTTTTTACAGTAAAATTTATTTTTTCATTTTCATTGGGCTTATGAGTAACAATATATTGAAAGAAAAATTAACTGCATAGAAAAAGAATCATAAATAAATCAATAATTTTTTAATATATACTTCGTTAGACGACCGGATCAACAACCAAGCAAAAAAGGCGTCATTTCATGTGTGACAATCTAATACTTTATCTCTAAGATCTCTGTTATCGCCGTTACGTTAGCTCTTGATAATGTGCCGGCAACAATGCTTAATGGAGCTGGTATGTATCTAATATCAGGAAAGTACTGTGATGCGTTAACTAATTGTCGGACTTCCCGGGGAGAAAATTCATTGGTGGCTGTTTGTAATGTTTGTTTGAAAACTTTGTAATCTATGGAGACTATAAAGTTCTTTCTTCTAATATGCGACGGGTGCAGTGAAAGATTTGCGTATTGTTTTGGTGGTTCACTTGAATCTAACCACTGGCCTACTCTCTTACTGTTGTTAAAGAGTACCCACTTCTCATCGCATGTAATGATTCGATGCAAAAATGTTTCTTTTCCCAAGTTAGTTCTCATACAGTATGATTACTCGAAATTGTTTCAATTGAACCATTTTCATTGGGCTTATAAGTAACAATATATTGAAAGAAAAATTATCTGGAAAAAAAAAGAGTCAGTAAGATTTTTTATATACTAAGGAGGTTACTTCATTAGACGACTGGATCAACAACAAACCAAGAAAGGGTTTCATTTCATGTGTGACAACGTAATATTTTATTTCTAAATATCTATAAAGTACAGTGGTGTACTGAATAGTGGACGTAATAAGCAAATTCGAAAGTCACTTCTATATTCTCTAAATTTCTTTGGTAAATACATAGTAAGTAAATATTTATCTCTCAATTTATTAATTTCATTTATTCATTTTATTTATTACGATTTATTTTCAAGCATTTCACCCCAAGCAAAGCGGAAGGGTCACTGTTTCGCAGTGGGTTACATAAAGTAAAAGTGAGAGAAAAACTGCGTATAGGGGGAATGAGGAAAGAATAAAAAATGAACCGGGTTTCAAGACATCAAAAGATGGCGATTGACGTTGCATTTAAATTTTTGAAAATTATAATTATCAGCGAAGCAAGTAAACGGAAAGGAGTTCCACAGGCATTTCACCCCAAGCAAAGCGGAATGGTCACTGGTTCGCAGTGGGTTACATAAAATGAAGGTAAGAGAAAAACTACGTATAGGAGGAATGAGGAAAGAATAAAAAAAAACGGGGTTCAAGACATCAAAAGATGGCGATTGACGTTGCATTTAAATTTTTGAAAATTGTAGTTATCAGGGAAGCAATTAAACGGAAAGGAGTTCCATTAGGGGGAAGTGCGAGAAAAGAAGCTGTTGGAGTAGAAGTGACCGTTATATATAACTGTTTCAACAGTAAAAGGGTGGGACCTAGATGCTAGTCTAGTAGCACGCTTAAACTCATAAAGTCGGGGCACCAGAGAAAAAAGCTCGACTGAACAATTGCTATAAAAATATTTGTAGAAAAGACAGAGGGAAGCCACATCATGTCTATGAGAAAGGGACTGGAGTCGAGATGCCAAGTCAGGATCTATTACATTGCAGATCCTTCTTTGGATTTTGTCAAGAACCCCGAGATGAATAGCTGGGGGACCAGTCCAGATATTACAACAGTACTCAATGCACGGACGAATGGTACTTGTGTAAATATGTAAGATGAACTCTGACAAGAAAAACCTTCTGGCACGGCAGTGAGTCAATTTCCTTGCAGCAGATGCAGCTATTGATTCAATGTAGTTGTTCCACTTCAAATCATTCGAAAGCACGAAGGCAACAGTGAGACACACTCCTGGAGTCTAACATCAACCGTGCTAATGGCGGGCAGAGAATTATCTCTACGGTGGCTAAATGAGAGCAGTTTCGATTTGGAGGCATTAAAATTTACAAGCCATTTCTCACCCCATTTAACCACTAATTGAATGTCCATTTAGAGAGCAGCGGACAGGCTGACTTTGTCAGCGCTGCCGGGTTTACTATTGAGACAGAAGTAAATGGTAGTAGCATCTGCAAAGATGCTTACTTGCGAGCTGAAAACATTAGGAAGATCATTGATGAAAATCGGAAACAGTATAGGACCCAGGATACAGTCTACAATATTCAAAATCAGATAGTCTTTGGCAAAACCTCCAGACATCATTAGCTCAAAACTATTTTTAATTATTGATCTAAGAAAGCAGTGGTATACAGCTGCCAGTTTAGATATTTCTGAACGGGTTTGACGCCATTCATAAAATCCATATGAAAGCCTCGATCTGACAATGCTATTTAGGAACACGATTTTTCAGTTTGTCGTTTTAGGTAAGTCGTTAAGTGAGTATTGGCAGTAACTGTCGGAACACAAATACGTTTTAATGAAATTAGAACAGGCCTTCGTAACCTGGCAACCATTCGGGGGGGGATTTTACTGCGCATGCGTTAACAGGCTCTCCTCTGTGGTTAATTGTGAAGGTCTGTTGAGTAAACGTCCGTAGTTCTTGAGCATTCTCATGTAGGTTAGTTTTATTTTTATTTTTTTTTTAAATCGAAACATCGCATCGCGTCGGTCTGTTCAGTTTAGCGACCTAAATCTACTTTCATTAAGGTTTGACACTCTGTTACATTTTGATTTTAAAATTTACGTTGCAAGGAGAGAACCTCCAGACCATTGGCGTGATGTCTTACGGAAAACACAGTGAAGTAGTTGATGGCAAACCCGAAAGTGGGTTTTGCAAAGTAGAAGTTACGCTTGCATAAATGTGGAAAGTCTCAAGCGAAAAGTTCGGAATCCAAGGCGCCTTAGGTAGTCAATATTTTCGCTAATATTAATCATAGGAATAGATAGATTCGCCTATCGCTCGGTTCACATTCCTCCCCGGTCTATCTAACAAAAGTAGAGGTATATCCCTTGTTTCCAGTTTAGCATTAGTTTTCCGGTCCCTTTTAAAGTCTACTTCAACTTTATATTCCTAACGTCTCCGCCCAAACTCAGAAAAAATAACCTTAAATATTTTTTCTCAATAGGAGTAGATAGGTCCGTCTATCGTCTTGTTCACACCCCTCCCCAGTCTTTTGAATAGGAGTAGAGGTTTATCCTTTGCTTTAGGATTGGGTTACCGGTTACCTCTAAAATCTTTTCCTTCTCTTTCACTTCCGGTGGCCCCTTGCGTCTTGATGACATTATCACCTAGCTTGGGGTGAACTGATAAAAAACAGACCCCTAGCGAATGTATTATAAGAAGAGGTAATGTAAGTGCTGTAGCATACCTACGGACGATAATGGATATGTTCCCATTAACATAAATACAGTAATAAGTACTGTATGTTGGTCTGCAGACGGAGATTCGTCTCCAGCTGCACTGGTTAAACTCACTGCCTCCGGGCAGGGGGGATCCCAAGACGAGGCTATGTCGAAGGACAGTCTCGTCTTGGGAAACAGCTACCCGACTCCGTTTCATACGGGGTCTACAGGGAATTTTTGGCGGAGCCTGCAGGCTCGGATACCACACATTAAATTAGGCCTTGTGCCACATCTAATCGCGTGCGGCGGTTGGTAGATATCCTGCAGACGAGGCTATGTCGAAGGGTGAAAACTCGTCTCGGGAAACAGCTACCCGACCCCGTTTTATACGGTGTCTATTGGGAATTTTTGGCCGAGCCTACGGGCTCAGATACACCACATTAAATTCGACATCGTGCCGCATCTAACCGCGTGGGGCGGTTGGTAGATATTCTGCAGTTGGAGATTCATTGTGGAATTCACTTGACTCACTTCTAACAGTTGACTACTTCTTCTACGCGCCGCTGGCGAATCTTATATGTGTTGTTCTTGTCCTAAGTATTATCGTTCATTACCAACCTTCGTGTGATTATTCTATTCAGTAATCTTCCCTA